AGTTTCTCGCCTGGGTCCTCCATGGGGGAAAACCAGATACGTGCACGTGGCCTCTGAGGAACGTCCTTAGCTGGAATCAGCCCAGCTAAGAAGTCCAAAGAAGCCTAGTCCGCGCATCTGATAACCCTGTATCCTCGAAAGGATCCAGAGGAATCAAACTCCGGATGGGGACCCGCCTGGCTATCGAGGACGTAGTCCATAACGAGACTTGATAGCTTGACGTCGATCTCCACCCAGTGCTTCTGCTCAGATACCGGAGTCTTCGAGTTTTCGTCGACTATGGCCATCAACAGACTGTCTTTGGCAACGTCACTAAAGTGGCGTTGCAGCGGGTTGTGGTCAGATGAAGAAGCCTGTTTAGGCTTCTTGCTCTCTCTGCCGGTAGTGCTGTCGTTAGTGGAAGGATTTATCTTTTGACATTCGCTCTTTTGCTTTATTTCAGGTGGATTGGGGTTTGCAGATTGCTTCTCTTTTAAGGAGCTCTCATATTCCTCAACCACCTTTTTATAGTATTCGACCGCCTTCAACTGATAGGAGCCGCTTGGAGCCAAATTGCTAGATATTTTATCTAGCATGTAGACCGCCCTCTGGTAGCGTCTCTTTCTGATTTGGTTCTGGGACTTTTTATGTTTCTTTTTCCGCCCTGTTCCCGCCGTCGTTGTACTGTGGTTGGTACTGCCGGCAGCTTTGGAGGAAGACGGAAGGTCGTGGCTGGTAGGGATGCCTGGCTTGGCATCGTTAGATGTGGTATGATTTGCTGCTTGTGCTTCTGGTGTACTATGGTTGGTACAACCAAGAACACTTGATGGAGGCAAGAAGGGTGTCCTCATCGGACTCCGTAACAACGGGGCCCGGGATCCGATAGGGAAGTGCCAAAGTCGATTGTCCAGTGTTCGTTGCAGTGTTCGTCATCAGTTTTCTTTCGGTTTCAGTTTGTTGTTTTTGTTTATTGTCATTCATATTTGGCCCCCCGAGTATGCACGGAAAAGGTTCGTCACTCGTCCGCAGAGCCGGCATACGTAGAGAAGGCACTTATACCTCCGACCTTGCCCGGGCATCGGAGGGGATCGTTCGCGGCCGGCTATTCAATATACACCCGCTGACCATTCAGACATCGGCACGGGTACCTCAACACCTTGGCTTAGGGTGTTGCTGGTGCGGCTCCAACCGGAAAGTTTGCTCACATACCATTTTGGTTTGTTAGCTTCCCTCACGATTGCAAAGGATATGAAGCTTTCCTCTTAGTTCTTCACGATCTGGAAGCTCCCTTTGGGGAATTTCCATGTCGTCATTTAAGCCCCTTCGCCACGGCAAGACGACCAGCATTGAAGAAGAACAAATGTGTAGTTTTATTAAATTTTTTACCTATACTGTGATACATATTTGAATTATCTAATTCCCTGCCATTTACATTGATTCCCATAATGCAGCAATGCATTTAACTTAATAGAACTAAATTTTTTAACAGCTGGCAACTCTGTTAATGTTTCAACCTAGATATAAACCTTTTCCTCGCCGAGACGAACACGTAAATATGCATGCTCCTACAATCGGACCACGGAAACATGGAGTCTATCGATGTCAAACATTAAGTGACTTTATTTTTGTGTTGGTGTTGGTTGATTTTTCCGACAGGGTGGTAAGATGATTTATTTTGACAAACTTGACAAGGGATGACGGAAATTCGTTCCAAAATAAATCATGACCTTATTTTCTTTTTTTGGTGTAATAATGTGACGTCCTCCCCTTCTATTTACTTGATTTTAAACATTTTAATTCCAAATGTTAAAACACGTATTTTCTATTATTTCCAGTTGAAGTATTAATAAAAATAATTTTGGCCGGCTAAATACCCCTATGTGGGTCGGCTTAATCAGTAGAACGTGACAGTAGTTGAGTTTTGAGGTTAATATATCGGTCTTGAGCTGGTACGGCTCTTGAAACATCCGCAACTTCCTTTAAAGCAACGCTGTTAATTGCTGAGAGGACCAGATTATATTTCCCGACCGAAGATGTGATCTTGAACGACTGAAAGGTGGCCTCAATTTGTAGAAACCATATGTCTGGCATCTCAGTCCAGAACGGATGCAACTTGCATTGCGATACAAGCTCCACATCTTTAGTTGGCATTTTGTTCGATGAAATATTCTTTTCACCCGTAGATGCGCCCTTTTGTCGATTCCGTCATGTTGTAACGATTCGGGGACATCACGAATTTTTTTATGGCGAAACTTTTGTAAGATATAACAATCATCTTATAGTTTTTTTTAGTTAAAAAGTATACCCTAAAGCGGTTTTGAGAATTATGTCAAAAAACTGCAATTTATCTTCTTTACTTTGACTATAATTATAGGCCATTGTAACTAAATTACCATTTAATGCACAAGTACTACGTAATATATACAATTTCCGCAAATTTAGCTTATCATAATATACCGTTTGTAACTATTTGTATGCACAATTTCATATCAAAAAGAGTACTAAATTTAGTACTATTTCGCAAAGCGGACTTTTTTTCTTCCCGTTTCTCTGGTGCTTCCATATTACAACCTTTTGTAAAGGCTCTGTTATGCATACTTGGCATTGCATGCACTGCTATACCATTTTTACGTAGAAATTAAAAACCAACAGACTTTTACGTATGTAATGCTGTGCGTTGGGTAACCGCTTACAGCCGAAGCTCTGCCAAGTATGCATAACAGAGCCTTAAGGGAGCCGTCGAAACGAGCTGTCACTACGTACAACACCTGACGTTTACTTTGGCCCCAAATGAGTGAGTAGCAATCAGTCATTTGAAGGTGTTTACACTGCTAGATTCGCATTTCCTTTGACTCATCAATTCAAAAGGGGAAACAGATACAAAATGAAGGTAAACACTGCATGCCTTATATTTTTAACACGTTTTGGTTACAAAGAAAGTATTCTTTTATAAGACTAGATGTGCAAACTTATTTATAAATTAACAATTTGTATACCCAAACATCAGATATTTCATTGTTTGTTTTGATTTTTAAAAATTCCAAATTTAAAAAACGAACAACCTTTCAGGAGTTTTTGTTTTTGAGTGTGTTCAGTAAAATAGTACAGCAATTGGAACGCATTTTGCTTCGAAAGTTTGTTTAAATGAGTCAATTTGGAAATGCGAATTTGTATGGAGAAATGCGAATTTGTATGGGGAAATGCATGATTTGGCTTCGCATTTCATACATACAGTATTGACCAATACAATAGCACCCCCATTTCAAAGTGATATTGTTTGCCACTCATGTTTATTTATTTATTCTTAAAAAATATTCAATTAAATACAATCGGCCGCTGTGGTGTAATGGTAAGCACTGCGCGCTTCCACTCCGCCTCGCCTGGGTTCAAACCCTGGTCAAAGCAACATCGAACAATAATATAGAAAAAAGGGTTTTTCTCAACAGCGGACGTCCCTCGGCAGACAATGGCAAACCTCCGAGCGTATTTCTGCCATGAAAAATACAATCGTCGTTCGGAGTGGGCGTAAAACTGTAGGTCCCTTCCCAAGGCGCACGCCACAAATCGGAGGAGAAGCTCGGCCAAACACTAACATATGTGTAAGCGCCGATCTATTATTAATTAAAGACAGTTCATTCTCTCACAGAACTCATATAAACTCAAGTTTAAAACTTTTTAAAAGACCGCAAAAAAGTGCAACAAATTTTCACCCAAATTTCAAACTTTTTTCTCAGAAGCGGTAGAATTTTTCTAAATACACTGTTTTATAGCCCAATAAATTTAGTCTAATAATGTGCAAGTTTCAAGTGGCTAAAAATTTTTGTTGATTTTTTAGAAAACAAATAATTAAACATAAATGGCAAACAATATGGCTTTGAAAGGGGGTGCTATAGATATGTCCAATACTGTATGTATTTCCAGAACAAATAATGAATTTGAGTAGCTAGAGATGTGGACAATAATTCCGAGTGTCGCAGGTTCAAATGCCGGCACATGCAGTATTTAAATGATATAAACCATGATACAAACATGAAGGTAGTTTCAATTAACAACTTTTGACGGATAATAAAATTTTTTGAAGTTTCATAAATTGTGAGTATTATTAACGGCCTTGCCACTTTGATAATATTAAAACAATAAATCGGAGTATTTTCCTTCCCATATTTATACCAATGTAATAATATTTCAAATAAAAATCCATTATCAGTGCTTAGTACTTTTTTTACTTACGTAGCTCGCACTATTTTTATTAAAAATGTATAAAAATATAAAGCAGATACCCAGAATAATAATTATTTCATGGTGGAGTTTTAAAAAAAGTCATCAAAATTTTCGTAAGAATTATAAAAGTCTTTTGATAATAATTATGTGTGAGAAATTGTTTTAAGTCATCGATAACTATTATTTTAAGACTTATATTATAGAAGTTAAGTTATATAAGTTATTAAGAAGTGTTTTCAAAATAATTATCAGCGAGATAAATATTTTTAGGTCTTCAAAGACTTTTATTTTGAGACTTATTTTGAGAAATATTTATCTTAATGTAATGATTATTGATTGAATTTTATTCTTTTCTCTTATAATAGTTATGTCTCTGATATAAAGTATTAAAGAAGACTTCATGGTAATTGTTCTTTTTTTTATAATAAAAACCACGCGCAATGTTGTTGTTTTTTCATTTTCTTAGTTTGAATACAATCTTGCGATTTAAAAATGTAATTCTAAAGAATGTTCTTCCCAAATAAAACCTTTTTATATTTTGGTTCAAATTTACTTTTAAATTTCTCAAGAGATTTTGCAAAAAAAA